CTAAAGGAACAAATCCAAGATCATCTTATGAGAATAGAATTAGAAAGATTAAGAAAGTAATATGATTTTTCTTCTTAAATAGGAGTAATTTCAAAGCAGCTGTTAACACTTTCATGTCTGAAACTTCCTTACTGGCACAAGGGAGAACTAAAGGAATCAGACAGATTCAAAGACAATTTAATGTAGCTGTAAGTCTGATACTGCTGCTGATACAATTTAATTGAGTACTAATTAGAACTAAAAGGCTAGTTATTTTGTCAACTGCACATGTGTTGGTTCCAGTCATTTTTAATCCAATGTAATAAAGATAAAGAGTCTAACTTTGTTTAGTAATAACATTACGCCAGAAGGATCACCTAGTCATTTCATGTTACCCAATACATTGCTAATATAAATAATGTTTAATTACAGTGACTTCTTACTCCCATGAAATGGCCAATTAGAACATTTGCTGATTCTACATGTTAACTGTTAGAGACATTTCTACAGGCTTTCTGTGGGTTGTATTCATAAATTCTACCCCAGCTGGTAGGAAGCATAAGAGCAAAATGAGAGAAAAAAGTTTTAAAGCAGAACAAAGGACATTTAAATTCTGAAACAGAGTTTCCATGCAAAAATATATCAAATTGAAATATAATTTTTAGTATTCACTAGGAGTTTGTAATATTGCACATTTATATGCTATTCTTGCTGAATCCAGCAGATCATGCAGTGTATTCAAGACTCACATGATAAAGAAGGCATGTGTTAGCATTTTATTATTTAGACCAACAAATAGAGAGTGATTTGAATTCACTTACAAAGCTGATTTATTGTCTATAATCTATACCTGGTATGAATCATGCCAGAGTAGTCTCTTATTTATTTTTGTTACTTTACTGATAAGTCAATAACTGTCCCCTGAAATATTAGTGCAGCATGTACTAATGTTTTGTAAAGTGGCAAAATTTAGCAATAATATTGACAGCATGTGTAAACTCAAATTCAAATCAAAATAGAAAAATACAATAAATGAGAACAAACTCTTCCTTGTCTAAAGAAAAATTGCTGACACTGTGAAAATTGCTTTAATGATTGAATTATTATCTGTTAAGTAATCATCCTGAAAATTTTGCTAGTTATGTTAAAGTAAATAACAGTACATCAGTGTGTGCATTGCCAAATCTAATTAATGCAAAATATTAGAAATACTGGAAACAATGAGACACAGTTATCTAGACAATTTATATAAAGGAAATTAATTCACAAGGATTGCAATCAATGCATATATTACAGCCAAATAAAAACAGGATACTAAAAAAGTATCTGGAAGTATTGGTGTTATCAATTGCTCTGCAGGTATCTAAAATGCCTGGCTGCCACACATGTCATTGCAAAGACTCAATGCTTCTCTCACCTCAGTGAGTTCAAATGTTGCCACTCAGGTGTCAGGTGCTTTTCTTATTCTACTCAGGCAATGCCCTAAACAATATTAATCTACTTACGTTATTTTTTTTCCTTTGAATAAAAGGCAGCATAATAATCTGCATGTCTGACCACTAGAATTTAAGAGAATTAAAATATATTTTAAAACCCACATCATGTAAATAATTACAATTTGCTAAAATATAAAACAAAAAATTAACAAATCTTCTCTAAAATTAATTGGTGGACACTGAACGTGTGCTACATTGTCTTGTGCAAGTTATTTTAAAATGAAATATATGATAAACGTTTTCTTATTATAATTTGATTAATAATAAAAAGTAATTAAAGCTCCTACTATTTTTTTTCTAGAAGAAAAGAAGAGCTAGAAATTATTAAGCTATCCAGAAAGGAATCAAAGCTTTTCTATAAAAAACAATTCCTTGAGCTGAACTTCAATAAATCAATAAGATGGTTATTTTTCAATAGGCAATAATTGTCTTTATATAAACTGAAAATATTGTTTGGGATGATTAATATACAATGCCACATAATGCATTTGGGAGTTTCAATGCATAATTCTTAGTTCTAATGTTATTATGTAATTGAGAGAACATGTTCATTTGCCCTAATAACTACTAAGATGCACTTAATAAAATGAAATGTAATAATACTTGTAATTTAATCTATTCATGGAAGTAATTTTAAAAGTCTAGCATTCTCCTTAATGTGGATAACATTCATAATTTATAAAGTGTTGTGATGCAGAATTGACAATGCCATTGTTTTTTACACTTTGAGATGAATCTGCAGGCTTCATTATCTGCATACCAACCTCAGGATTATCAAGGGCAAACAAAAGATAATTAACACCAGAAACTGGCAAATGCAGGAGATACTGAGTGAGGTTTTTCATTTAATGTAGAACCTTTGAAAACTGGGAAATTGAATAACAGTTCAAAATCTTTTTTTTTCCCTTTGCAGAAAACTATTCTAGTATGTTTTCTTTCCTACATTTTGAATATGATGGTTTTTGCTATAAAATTATATTGGCATGTTCAGCCTTAAATGCATTCTGTAAATGAATGTGTTCAGACAGGTACTTTTTCCAAAGAACTAAGTGTTCATTTTCTGCAGTGTTTTTTTCATCTAGAACAGTAGATAGGTAATTATGGTATACATTTTCAAATTCTATAGTTTTACTTCCCCACAGCAAATCTGTAAATAAATCACTTAACTTCTCCTCCCTTATTGTGTCATTCTCTAAGGATGAAAACTTCTACTACACAAATTTGATTAATGAATAAGATATATTTTTATGTTAATGGCTTGTAGGAAAAAGTATGTGAGACTGCCTTGGGCATTTTTATATGTACTCACAGCAGAACAATAAAGGTTTGCTAAATGCTGATATAGATCGGAGAGAGAATATTTCAATCCATAAGAATCACTGACATGTTTCTTTTTAGTTTTTTGAACAAGAAGTCCTGATTATGTTTCTGCATTGCGCTCAAAAATATTTGCCATGTAACTAATAATTTCAGAAATTAACCATTGAAGATTCTCCACAAAGAGAATCTTTTGAATGTAAGGCAAAGAAACATTATATGGTTAGACTCTAATCTGTGAATGAACACACTTGCACAAAAGGTCCAGGAAAAGTCATTTTACAAATGGAAATGCAGGACATTGATGTTCATAGTTTTACACAACTTACAGATGTTGATGACAGTCTAACTCTCCATTTGTTACTTACATAAGAAGATCTTATTACAGGAGGATGTGTAACCTAGGAGCTATCCATGCCACATTCAAATATTTGTGTTTAAAGACCTTGATGTATTACCATTCCTTCACTTTTTACAATTCAGAACTGGAAATGCCTTTTAAGTAACCAATCCAAAATGAAATACAATCAGTAGGAGCTTGTTTTCCACCCAGCACAGTGGGCTGAGAGCCCTCTATACAGGATGATGGTTACACTCTAACATTCAATCTGGAGAATAAATTTATGAGTCTTGTTCTCTTCCAGAAGAGAACTGATGCCAGTTATAATGAAGATACCTTCATTATCAGGGTTGTCCCTTATTCCTACTTACCAAACCTTTTTCCTCTTTGATGTATCCTGGTCAGTGACAGGCACCAGAAGGCACATGGGACAGGAAAAGTCATATGAGCACACTGGTCCCCCAGAGACAGGGAGAGGCTGAGGCCAAGGGTTTTCTCTACATCATTGAATAACCAGACAAGTATTAAAGTGCCTGAAATCCCACAGCAACTGTGTGGTTGATGATCAGTTCAAATGAATGAACAGTGTGCCCTTGAGATCAGCAGGGCATGTACTGACACACCATTCTTAACAGGTGGAGAGACTGTCTCACTAGACTCAGCCTCACCTCAAGTGCTCTGCACTGTTTTGGACAGCATAATACATTATAATGTGCCCAAAGAAGGGCAAAAAAAGATGCCAAAGGGACTAGAGGGAATGACTTATGAGGAGCAGATGAGGATATTTTGTTTATTCAGTTCAGAGAAGAGGATAGTGCAGAGTGATCCCATTGTTGTCTACAACCTCCTCCTGAGGAGGAGCAGAAAGGGAGGAATTAATCTCTTTTTTCTGGGGTCCAGAGATGGAATGCATTAAAGATACATAAGGAAAAATTTAGAGTGGATATTATGAAAAAGACCTTTACTGAGAGAGTGGTCGAAGACTGGAACAAGATCTTGAAGAGCATGGTCATGGTCCAAAGGCTCCAATTGGTGTTCAAAAAGTGTTTGAATGATGCTCAGCTTCATAGTTTATACTTTTTCATGTGTTTTAACTTTTAGATTGCCCTGTAAGGAGGCAGGACTCAGAAGCAATGAGCCTCAGGGGTGCCTCCCAACTCAGGATAGTCTAGGAATCTATGATCCTGTGTACTGGGACTCTCAGGCACTGAGCTGTCATTCTTTCACTAGTTAACATTCTAGTTTCTAGTTACTTCTGAAAAACAGAGCTCCAAACTTTTCCCATGCTCAATGGGAAGCTTTGAAATGTAGGAAAAATAAAGACTCAAGGTGCTAAAACTCCTAAGTGCTATGGTTATCTATAATTTTTTTTAATTAAAATTCCTTTTTTTAGGACATTGGCTTTAGTTCTGCAAATATTTCTATAAAAGGTTTTTAACTCAAGGTCTTTACATTAAATATACCATGGCTGGAAAAGAGACCATGTCCCTTTGAACTAATAGAGAATATCAGTTCACTCACATCAATTTATTTATCTAAAAGGCCTCGTCCTTTCATTGAACTCATCTTCTAGTTAACTCCTGAAGGAAAAAGAGGTATATCCTCTACTATCTGGAGAGTACTGTAAATATATCTTATGGAGTATGATACCATTTTTAATTACACACAGGAAAACACAATCAAAGTAGGTGCAGCTTGATTACCAGGTGACACTAAAAAACATACCATGCCAAATGGGGTAGTGGGCAGTAGTGGGCTCTGTTGCAATCACATTGCTCCCCATGAACCCACCCTAGCTCCCTGAAGCAGAAGAGCCATTTTCTGTTCATAAAGCCCAGAGGACATCCAGAGTAGATAATGCAGACCTT